ATTGTGAATTTGCATCGTAACCAAACCAATGGGCCTTCAATGCGTAGCCTGAATTGGTGCAACAGCAAAGTACTTTTACAAAATTATTTTTTATTGTTTACTGCTCAAAACGGATAATGGGCGCATCTTTATGACACATTCATTCATCTGGGTGAGAATATTCCAAACCCAGCAGGGGGTGGGGTACTCCCGATTGGGATGATCAAAGGGTTTTTTGGGGTAGGAAATTTTCGCAAATATTTTTTTGGGTGGCTTGATTTTTGTAGGGATATTTTAAGGTCTTCAAAACAATCTGAAGATCCATTGTAGTGCACCAGTGCATCCTGGCTGCATAGTTCTGTAAATATCAAGTACAGCCGAAAAAAGTATGACATGTTATATCAGTTAATGCTTTTTGGAAATTTTTAAGGCTCAGAAATTTGGCATGGGATTTTATTCGGGTTAATTTTTGATCCAGGTGTTTTGGGGGGTTTTGATTTTTGTCCCCATTCGATCATGTTGTATTTAATTTTTTATCGCAAGTAACTTTTCCTTTCTCTTTTTTGTAATTAGGTATGGTAGTGTATGCTAATGAAGTTGAAATAAAAGAAAAATAAAAATTACCTGAGAAAAAAAATCAGCTACAACAATCATCCCTGTCACTTGAAATCCGGAGCACCCCCCCCAGGATTCTAAAACAGTGAAGGGATAAACTTTGTCTTAATATGTGTAAACTGGTACAAAAGTCAAACAGAAGTCTTAGATTCTTGTGTCCAATCATGAAAGTCAGAGAGTACTTCTTCCAAATCTGATAAACTGTCTGTTATTGCCTCTCATGATCAGTCTCCAAAGCAACATTTGGCAACCTGCTGCATCACTCAATGTCCCCAGACAACAGCTTGGTACGGGCAGTTTGGGAGGTCGTCTCTTTGCTGTAGGCGGCTCGGATGGTTACTCGCGTTTGAGCACAGTTGAGTGCTTTTCACCTGAGGCAAACAGATGGATGTATGTGAAGTCACTCAATACAAGTCGATCAGGAGTTGGTGTGGGTGTCCTTGGTGAAGCAATGTATGCCATGGGTGGTTATGATGGACGGTCATGTTTAAAAACTGTGGAAAGATATGATCCTCTAGTGGATATTTGGAGTTTTGTTGCACCCACAAATGTGACCCGCAGTTTTCCTGGTATGTGATTGACTACTGGTTATGTTGTATTTTTCTCAATGTCTAAAAATACTCTTTTACTAAAACTCTGATCACTATAGATCGTTTTCACTCACATGGTCAGCAGCTATGCAAATTTCTTTGAACAAAGGAAAGTTTTCACTTGAGAAAAGAGTTCAATCCCCACTGGTACACCAATATACCAATATGGCCACCTTTTTGTCAAAAAATTCCCCCAATAACTGAGGGAAGGTCAGGCAGTTTTGATGGAAAACACCATTTCTGTTCAGAATTGTTTATTCAAGGGCCCAGAAAATTGCAAATTATGGTATGTTGGCTCTGTAAGCGGGCAAGATGGGGCAAATCCTAAGTTGCCATTAGCTACCTGAACAGGCAAGATACGCCTATCTTGCTCCCTCAGTGTTACCTGCTTTGCCTGGCAGGAAAAGATATTGTTTTAGTCATTTAATAAAATCTTAAAATTTATCAAGCTTGTTTGGTCAAGATGACTACATATTGGCCTCATTCTTTTTGCTGTTTTTTTGCCCTTTTTGACAGAGGGGCTTAAGGGATTGTGGGAAATAATGTGTGGTGTAAAGCTACACTGTAAATTGGAACGTATGGTGCAGAATGAAACACAAGAACACATAACTAGAATGAAAAGTGTTCCTAGATTCTGTGGGGATTTAAATTACAACACTTTTGTTCTAAATCAGTCTTATGGCTTTCCATGTTGCCTTGATGTGTGGGATACCAGTGATTGCCATCATGTGAAAAACTGACTCACAACTTCACCAACGCAGAACCACAGTTTCTTTTGAATTATAACTAATTCAACTTTATTCAGCTTTGTTAATATTATTGTATTATTAATAATTTTTGTTTTTACTCAGGAGTGGCAGAGCTTGGAGATCGCATCTTTGTAATCGGTGGTAATGATGGAGTGTCATTTTTAAATTCAATTGAATGCTATGACCCACATACCAATCGATGGACTCAGCTTGCTCCTATGAGTCGGCCTAGGGCAGGAATAGGTGCAGCGGCTCTGGATGGTCGCATTTATGCTATTGGGGGCTTTGATGGTGCCCAGAGACTTGATATAGTGGAAATGTATGAACCTCGTATGAATACATGGCAAGAAGCTGCATCATTGAACTCATGTCGCGATGGTGTTTGTGTTATGACTTATGGCTGTTGGGTTTATGCCGTGGGTGGAATAGATGGACCATCATATCTTAATACTGTGGAGGCTTACGACCCAAGAACTGACCAATGGGAGGAGGTTCTTCCCATGACAAGATGTCGAGCAGCTGCTGGAGTAGCAGTGTTGAAAAATGCTCATTGAAGTAAAATTGATCGTGGTATTGAACTACAGACTCAATTCAAGTTGTCAGGGCACAAAGCAATTTTTTGCTGATCACAGAAAACAAAATCAAAAAAGTTTATTTGATCATTCATGATACATGGCTTTTTTGTTGTTAATTTTACTGATACCTTAAAATTATTAATGCCAAGTTATAAGCCCCAATTATTTAAGCCCCTGACATATTTTCTTGTTTATTCACTAGCTTACAGCTCCAACAGGAGTAAAATGAATAAATTTTTCAGGATGCACACCCCTGACTCCACTTAGGGCATGTAGGGCTTGAGTTTTTGGAAAATGGTTATGCTATTTTTGCTGGATCTATGCTGAGCAGTTACACAACTGTTTAATGCTTTGAAGACTGAAAAAAAATCTTCTTGTGAAATTTTCAAATGATTCAGGAAGGAATGCTTATGTATTTAATACATTATTTTCAGAAAATGCTATACATAGTTAAGGTTTAATCTCAGGTTAGTTAAAATGCAGGCTACAAAGATTTTTTGAGAAATGTTCAAATCACTCTAGTAAAAAAATATGGTTATTTAATTATCTACTCTTAAATTTTGCGAAAAATTTTCCATTGTCCGGTTTTAATAGCAGGTCTGTTAAAATGCTGATTGAAGACAACTTTTTGAGAAATTTTCAATTCATTTAAGATCAAATTAATGGTAATATTTAGAGTATTCAATGTAACTTGTATTAATATGACAGCAAGGAAGATGATTTAACAATTAATGAATAAGGCTGAGTATCTTATGAAGAATTATGGAGATCGAGGAGGGTGTTATCTGTCCAGGCCATAGGCCGAGGCAGATAACACCCGAATTTAATAATTGTTTTCTTATTCATTCAAAATACTTCCTAGTTTAACAACATAGCTAAAACAAGCTTACCTGCATTGATGTTGTTTATCTTCGATAGTTTACATTTGTCCAGTGCGGCAAATATTCTTCAAATAGTAGATGTTGCCCTCCAAGTTGTCTTCTTGCTGTTTTTGCTATGTTTTTAGCCATTATTTCGCCTAGTTCCAGCTGTAGTTCTTACTCTTGAAATGAGTGTTTACAATGAAAACAACTCAATCTCGTCCCCAGGTCTTCTCATTTAACAGTGCGTTAACCTGTAGAAGGCTGCATTTTTTACATTATTTCCTCGTTAAAAACAAAATTCTTCGAAATTTGGTCATCAGTAACTGGTTATGGTGAATTATGTGTGCTTTTAGCCAATCAGAATTGGGGAAATATTTTAAATGAATAATAAATTATGAATAACAAATAAGTAGGACTGCTTAACTGATAAAATATGAACTGAGAGTTTGTGATTGTTGCAAAGTCCTAACAACTAAACACAGTCAAACTTCTCCTAGACTTAATGGTCGCTTACGAGAAAAGAACCACAGGGCTCTTTTCTGAGAATATGTCTGGACACATTTGCGTTAGGGAAGATAATTTACTCTATGCAATTTCTAAGTCATGATATGTGCAGTTCCATGATGTTACAAAAATTCTTTGTATATATTTCTAAGTAACATAACTTACAGGTGTCTTGAAAGCAAAGACTCCTAAGACCCCCTACCAGATGACTCTGAACTTTATTGAGTTAGGGTTCAGAAACTGAGTGAAGGTCATTAAAATGGGCATACTGACCTGAAGGTTGATTCACTCAGCTTCCTAACCCTAATCAATAAAGTTCAGAGTCATTTGGTAGAGGATCTTAGGAGTCTTTGTTTCCAAGACACCCCATAACTTACATGCAGTGAACATAAGAGATCAGATTATTTGTTAAGTGGTCGCTTACAAGAGGCAAAAAACACAATGGAAAATCATTAAACCATCAGTCCCAAATACTGGTGGCTGTTGCTCACAAAAGATGGTCACTTACAAGATGTTCCAACTGTAACGTTTTGATTGGGAACTGAGTTTTGGTGTTTTGGATAGTTGGTCAGTTAAGGGAAGTGGTGGCTTACGAGAGGTAGTTGTACATGGAGGTTCGCACATAGCATTAAGCTTAAGTTCTACCAAACAGGTTTCATTTGAGTGGTTGACTAACACCATTATTTCCTCCATAGATTCAAAAGTTAGAGTAAAACATAATCTCACCATGAGTGAAGGGTTAGTGCTCTTTGTGTTTTCTTTAAGAATTATTTATGAGGCAGTTTTTGATGACTTGTGTCAAATAATTTTGTAAACAAGAACCAGTAAAGTGCTCTGGAAACCATTTCTTCTCCAAGTACCAATGTATTGATCAATGGAATATGAAATGAATTTTTTCGCTTCTAACAACAGAAAGTGGCAAACAACTCACTAAGTTAGGAAATTCTCAATCTATTCTTCATCATTTATGCTTCAATAGTATTATTAGTAGGGAAATTAATGTGGAGGTTGGAAAGGGGTGGCTAAGGTAACCTTATTAAAGTTTTTATTTAATCTACTTTTGGTAAAGTCTGTTTACTGGTCAATATAATTATCATGAAATATGAAACTGGCCAAATAAAATGAAGAAATTTATTTGTAAGTATTCTTCAAGTATAGTAAATAAATTACATATTAGAAATCATAATGTATGAAAAGGCATTCGTCATGATTTTTTTTTTATCCTGCAGTATTAGCTTGTGCAGAAACACATTCAGCAAGAAAGTACAAGCTGGACAATCCTTCTCTAATTGCTGCTTATCTGTTATAGGTAGATACCAGTGCAGCAATGTCAGAATGATGACCTATTGTGTTCTTGTGTTGATGCTAACATAATATACATGTACTAGAAATGTACACTCTTAATCTTGGCTGATATTCACAATTCCATCTCTTCATCACTGGTACTGTTGTCTTGTTGAGTTGACAGTGAGGCAGAGAAGCTCACTGGATGGCATGTGAGTGTCCTCAGATTCAACAGTACACAGGTCTTTGTATTGGAAAAGGTAGGTACTGTTATCAGCAGTATTTTCTGGCCATTTTCCCCTACGCAAAAAACAAAGAATGGAATTTATCAACATCATGATCTTTTCATCCTATAAAGGGGTAGCCTCCTCAGAATTTTTAGGACTTCGTCACACTTTCCTCCCCTGCGCTTAAGGCTTCGTCACAAATTCACGCTTGACAAAGCCCTAAGAACATCTGCGTATGAGGCTAATAAGGTCGGAGAGTGGCTGCAACAAGGCAGCAAACTGTTGCCCTTTAAACCTACAAACATAAGAACCATGTTTATGATTAAACTGCTCGTATTTTAGTAAAGTGAAACACTGACAATGGGACTTTACCTTGAATAGTTTTACTTTGGTACTTAGGCTGATTTCCAACAAAGCACACATGTGGGCATTTGTCCAGAATGAAGGGATCCTTTTCATAATAGGGATAACAACCTGAACAATTGAAATAGCAATTGTTAGCAAAACCAGATAGCCATGTTTAAGGCAGATACACTGCAGAAGTGCTAATAAGGGCCAGCAACAGACCAGTTTCGAGTTATTAAAATTCCTACTTGACCCCAAAGCTGAGGGGCATAAAACAAAAGAAATTGCATTGAGATTCAGGGATAAATAATTCATTTCTTTCGTTTTAAATGCCCCTCATGATCAGCCTTAGAACCAAGTATGAATTTTGATCATGTGACACTAACATTATAATATTTTGTCCCGGCTAACGGCAATCCCTTCCTTTTTCATTGAACAACTTTGGACTGGGAGGAAGAGAATTTCTTGAAGGTGTATTTAGTCACAATGAGGTGCAAAGGCTATCTTTGGTGTTTAAAAGACTTAATTCAAAGCTCCATGTGTGCGACCACCCCTCCAAAAATTCTCATTCAAATCCCTGTCTCTGAGCAGTGTGAAGATGAGGATCAATGCTCTGACACTAAAAAGAGTAGATGAAGTTTTTCCATCTGATTTTAAAACGTTTTTACTTGTTTGGAGTTCTTAGACCAATACAATACAATTTACCTAAGGTGTCAGGCGCTGTGGGCGCAATGTGACTCCATTTCATAGTGTGCTCTAAAATCTCCAAGCGATCTTCAAAGGTGGACACTTTGAAGATGTCATTTACATTCTGTCCTGCAGTACCAAGCACCCTGACATCAAAAATCAAAACAAAGTCAATCAAAGTACTCATGGAGACTGAAAATTATATTTCTTTAACATCCTTTTTGAACGTGTACAAAACCTTTCAGTAGCAAAGAATACTTTGTCAGCTTAAAAAATCAAAAAATTGTTTTGGTGAGCAAAAACTGTCCACATTCAACAGAGGAGTGTTAGTTCCCTATCAAATTACGACTAGGTTCTTGACATCAGAAGCCTATCACCCCAGACATTTTGATCAGATCTGATTTATACTTTTACTGTTAATCTTAAACATGAGGAGGTATACATCCAATAAGCTTTTAATGAAAAAAAGGTGACGACGTGCTATTTAATATTGTTTTTGTCGTTTTGACATACCAAGTTACCTCAATGGATGCGCAAGTGCTGAGCATAGGTACTTAAGGAGCAATGTGAGGGCGCTTTTTTTTCTTGACTTTTATTAGCATTGTAAATAAATGACAATATCTTAAAACCTACATACTCTTTCAAAATTTGACGAAATTTGGCAGAAACAAATTTTGAACAACGGGGTTTTGTGATACAATCAACATTAACTTCCATGAAAGCTATGGAAGCTATGTGCAAATTTATAAGAAAATCTAATGACTGGATTTTTTGGAAATTAAATAAATTCAAAATTTTAGGCTTGTTTTCAATCATCCATGTTACCATGGCAATGACTCAATTTTTTTTTCTGGTTTCAAACAAAAAACTAGCCTGAGAATGGGCTCTTAGTGAAGGAAAAAGGCAAAAACTTGGGTGAAACGAAAAAAAAAACAAACAAATAAAAAACAATTGGTGAGAGAAGCGAGCCAAGTGGTGGACTGGGGAGAGAGAAAGTGCAGCAGCCACCCTCTCCCCTCCTCAGACTCCAATTTGTCTTGCTTTGTTGGTCAATTTTTTTATCCCTTTTCCCCACTTTAGGAGCCTGGTCCGAGGCTAACTAAAGACTGGTTAGATAAACTTATATGAAAAGACATTACGTAAATTTCCGTGCTAGTACCTTACACCTCCAATTACAGCCTCATATGGGTTGGTGACACTTTGGAAAGTAGAATAAGCCGCTGCCTGAGGAAACATACAGCGATGGAGGGGCTGCTGTGGCATCGTGTGATTTGCTGGATCAAATTCACCTGGCATTATTTCTACAGGAACACATGCCTGTAAAGGAAAACAACAAACATTAACAGGGTTTTGATGAATAAAGAAAGATGGTAAATTTTAAGCTCAGTGAAGAAATGAAAAATTATGTAATCAACATGTCACGAGCATGGGACAAAGAAAAAAATCTGAGTTCATGACAGGAATTGAACCTATGACCTTCCATACACCCATGGTTTGTACAACTTCAGACAAACAAATTTCAAGGACTTTTCAAGGATTTTTCTAGGACAAATTACAGTTTTCAAAGGTTAAGATTTATTTGATAAATCGGTATTCTTTAACCCCCCACCCTATTGGCTAAGACACATCATGGAGTTATTTACGATTTTTCCTTCTTCGTCCATCATTGATCCCATTACTTTATACTACTTTCCGCAACAAGACTTTGCAATATGACTGGGTATGACTTGTAACTGCATCTGAGGTACAGAAATAGCATTTGAAATAAAGAAATAGAAAATTAATAAAAATATTTTGTTCTTACACAAAAATGTTCTTAAGCTTGCTTGCAGGTTATAGAAGGGCAAATAGAGCTTCTGGGGGTGGTCATTCACTTTTCATTCTTTTTCTGGAAGGATCAGTACTGGTAACTGTCAATATTGAAATGTTGATGTTGGCTCTGACATTTTTGAGCAACTTTTTATTTCCAGAAAAGTCATAACAGAGCCCTTTTTTCACCAAGACCTTCAATATTATTGTCTTGCATAAATTTCTCAGTAATTATTGTTTTCCTCGTGTCTAGTGCCTCATTTTTTTGATATTGTGCATTCACGTAAGATGTTTTGTTTGGACTTTATGGAAAGATGATCAGTCACTTACTGCTAATTGTAGAACAAAGTCATCCAGACTCTTAATAGCCTCTACACTTCCTGCCACTGTGTTTCTTGTTAAATATTTTGCCTGTCATAAAAAGATCATTAGGGAGTTTAAAAGAGATTACTGTTATCAGTGACCATAATTTGTGGATGGCAGGGCTCATATGCAGCTTATATTGTGAAAGTCAATTTGTCAGTGACTGCTTGTTTCCCTACGCATCATTTTGCTGACTCCCCCACTTGCTAACATCTTAAGTTTAAGTTTCACTTACAAAATGAAACAAGCACTACACATTTGTATAATTATCTCGTTTTTTTTTTTCAGTCATGACGCAAAAAAGTCTGATACACATGCATATACCTTGCTGTTAAAGCCATTGATCAGGCAAAAGAAGTTCAGTAACTGACCTAACACATTAATGAAATGACATAAGACATCAGCCAACAGGAGGTGGTCAAAACAATTCGTAGGTGATACAAATGGTAAAATTATTCACTCTTTTTTATAATTTGTCCTTAATGATAATGATGATGATGATAATGTAATGATGATGAAGACGATGCTGATCCTCATCATCCTCATCATCCTCATCATCATCATCTATTGCTATTTACACACAATTATCAAGCAAAGCATTGTGGTTTATGAAAACCAAGCTCATTTAATTTTCGAGTTGTTTCAAACAGCTTTTTCCAAATTGGGGTAGAAGCAAACTCTTAGATATACATTAGTAGTTTTTGGCTCCACGAAAAGAAACAAAGGAGATGACTAGGCTAGGAGGTGTTTTTGCATGGAGCCTTTCACGCAGTGGGGATGGAATGGGTCCCATGCAAGATGCTCACCAACCCATTCCAACAGTCAATGACAGGTATGGTTGGCGACTGTCAGATCCAGACTGTTATCTCCCTAGTGAATATTTTGTGCAAATGAACCAGGATTCTGATTTTTAGAATGTGTTGGAATAGAAGAACACAGGATGCAGGAAAACTTGAAGATGCACAGAAGCCTCAAATGAGAAAGGGGGATCATCAGTACCAGGTACTGATCCATCTAATCACTAGAAGTGCTAAATACTGATAACTACTGCCAGCAAAAAGAAAAGGAATTTTTTTTTGTTACCTTAGTTTCACTCTCTTTTGTTTGAGTACACTGGCTCAAAGAATTACCAGCAATGATGACATGGCTTATTTTGGCACATGACTCTTGATCCTAAAACACAAATCATGGTGAGGAAACATGCCAAACTAGAGTACAAAGGAAGCTGCTACTGTGAAAAAGAGCCTGTTAAATATTACTCAAGAATATTAAAACGTGGGCTTTCTTTAAAAGTCCTCAAAAAAGGCAAGGTGGTCCGACTTTTTAAGCTTTTAATAAAACAGAAAATTTTTTGCACAGACTTACTGTTTTCATTGGAGACGGTTACTGAAAATATGTGACCAACTGAGGCTATTTAAAGCAAAGTGGCATTACTTTTAAACACCTTCTGGAAGTTGCAGTAATATTAGTGTTAGACTATTAGAAAGATAATTTTTGTTGTTGGGCTTTTATTTTTCGAAAAGGATAAAATACAGTATGAAACTCCTTTGATGAGGGGAATGAGTACAGACTAGTACAATATTCCCTGTTTTACACAGTCAATAAGATATTCAGCACAACTAGGGTACAGATGCTCCGTAGTTGATTGAGTAACACTTTCAGTAACAATTTGTAGGAATTACTATTGCTATGAACTGGTGCTATTTATCACTAATAAAAGCTATAATCAGTGGATAAAAGTTACCATAACTAATTACTGCGCTATCCACCTTTTAAACAACTTGGGCCTGGACTGGGCAAGTGTTAGCAAAATTAGGTAAAACAGAAGAATCTTACCTGAACACTCCCAAGCTCTCCTGTCACCAGATCAGAGAACATCTGTAGGCTGAGCATATCCTGGCTTTCAGAGCCAAAGCCAAGACCAGATATGAGTGCCACATACCTGACAAATGATGAGAAAAATTAGTTAGCTCAGGTGCCTATCTTTTGGAGTGGTATGCCCAGACCTGATTTCTGGCTGGACCAATACTTAGGATCTTAGAATAACTGAGAAGATTGTATTGCCAAAGTGACCGTTCCAACAGGAGGACCCAGAACCCCTAAATGCACTCATCAGACTACAAACATTTATAGAATTTACATACTGAAAGCACTGGCATTGAAGGCTTGCATGTTAGATAGCTCTGCTAGTGACAGGTGGCAATGATAATCTGTAAACAAGCTGTAAAATTAAATTCTAAGGGAGAGCACAAGTATGCACCCCTCCAATGAAAATCGCTGGATCCCCCCCCCCCCCCCCCCTTGTGCCATCGCGCAAACATCTCTCAATTTTTAGACTTCTTGGTAAGGGATAAAAAACTGCACACCCAGTCTCAAACACATCACAGATCTGAATCTTGTGGGATGTGAAACCACCCTGGACCACACTACTAGGGACATAACAGATCACTGGGAGTGACCATTGCCTACACACCGCCACCAGTAATAGTCAGTAGTGCCTATCTTTCATCCACTAAGGAAAAAGTGTCTTGGGTGTCTTGTCTACTTTTCTAATTTTTTTTCATGCAAAAACAACTTGAAGAAGACTGGCTGAATGAGAAACATCACATTAATCAATATCACAGTGACGTGACTGATGTCATTTCACCTGTCTTCACCCTTGGTTAAACACTGATCAAGGTTGGGTGAAGTTTGGTATGGAAGACCACTAAAGCAGTACTCATCAACATGGAATTTGCCACTTTCAGTTGTATGGCCACAGAGAGCTACTATAGTTCCTAAAGACGACAAAAAAGAACAGTCAAAGGAAAATTACAATACTGTAAGAACAAACTGGAAGAGAAAGTCATGGAGGTTTTAATTTCACCCTCTTTCATTGCTGATCATTCCATAAAATGCTGTGATTCATTTTAAATCTTGCTTCAAATGTTTTTCTCCTTTGTTGCTAGGATTGCAAACTCATTGTCACATGTAACAAGGACAAAATTACCACATCGATGAGCCTAGTTTTACCTATAAATCACCCCATCATTTTCACGATAATAATTACATGACTATTTCAATATACAGCCTTTATATGCTTTAAACCTTCATTGTAGGGTTCCAAAGGGTGGCACTAATCCATGGGGCCTAAACCCCAGGTTTCTTTCCTTTCCACAAAACACACAAAATGAATGTAATGTAAACCATTGAACTTACAAAATTACAAAATTGTGTCAGCAAATCACGTATTGATATCATTAACAGGGGGATTAGATTTTGAATTATTTTAAGTTGAGTCACCTGTTACTGATGTCCCGACTGGAATGTTACCAGTAAGAGCCACCCTCTCTGATTCATCCTCAATAACAAGTTCATCACTGTCATCTGCATATTTTACTCTTGATGGTTGAGGCATCAGGTTATGCTGTTAAGAACCATGAAATACACTTAAATTATTGAAAATAACAAGTCATTTTAGGGTGAATCTGATTTCCTGGGGCAGGTGATATTTTTCAAGAAAAAGGAACATTTTCAGCCCAGCTGCCTTTTTACTGGGGAACTATCTTCCAATTGTACAGGGGATATCCTAGTGCTTAGGGTGTACATCAGTGATAACCTGTTTTAAATAGCAGTGAATATATATTGAAACTCCCTACAAAGAGAATAAAGAGAACATTAAATGCAAAACTTGTCCATTTTCACATGTATGATAAGCAAACCATGTTCACTGATATCCTTCCATTGCCACTATGTAGAAAGATCTCCCAGTCCCTAAACATGACTTGTGTATTAATCAATTTTTCTGCTCTTCTGGCAAAGCACCACTATTGCAAAACAATCCCGAGAAAGCAATCTCATTCCTAGAGCCTTATCCAACTTGTCCCCTGGAGGACGAGTAGGACAGGAACCCGGGAAGGAGTTTGCCAAGAAAGAGCAACCATCCATTTGTGACAATGTTGTTTTTATGCTTATCATATGTCTGTCTTCTAAGAAAGTTTGTCAAAACCATTCAGTTGGTGTTGTAATAAAGTATGATAGCACATATGGAGTAGAAAAAAAGTTCTGCTGAGGCAGGAAAATAATTTTCCTGTATTAAATTTGCTGCAATGGATTAAAAGATATTCTGCAAGGACAAATAATACATTTTTATTACATTTTTATTTCCACTTCATTGTGTATTTTGCTTTTTCAAACAGGACAGGCAAAATTTTGGTAAGGCAGCAAAAAAAATAGTTGAAAAGCAGTTGTCCACCAGTTTAAATGCAGACAAACTCTGAAACCTGATCTTGAAACAATGTGGAAAGTGTATGTAGCATATGACAAACAAAGGCACAGAGCCAATACCAACACTTTCATCCAATATTTTTCAGACTATCTCATTTTAAAATCAGTCATTATGTACTGCTTAAACATAGCACTTCTTTAAAATGGGCACCTCTTCGCTTATCTCCTTTAATATACAAGGCTTGAGTTCCATTTTCTTGAACAGAGTTCCTATCAGGACACATTTCTCATTTCCCTTGACCTCAGCCAGTTTCTTCTTTATTTCAAACCTGTTACCTAAATTGGATTGCATAAAATGGAAATCAAACTTTTCACCCTTAGCCACACAGAGCCATTGAGTATAATTATACAGTTGAACCTCTCATAAGGGCACTTACAGGAAGTGGTCATTTACAAGAATTGAACCACAGGGCATCTCTTTCAAGAAAAGGTCCAGACACATCTTTATTACATGCAATTACTAAGTTGCAATATGTGTAGTTCCATGTTATTGCTTAAAGTTCTTCTTATTTACTACGTGACATAGCGCATACAGCGAACATAGAGAACAGACCATGTGTCAAGTGGTTGCTTACAAGAGGTGGAAAACAGAGAAAAATATTATCATAGAAATGTCAGCCATGATATGTGGTCGTGGGCACTTACAGAAGGTGGTTGTTTCTGAGAGGTTATAGCTGTAAGGCTTTGACTGGGAAAACTTAAGTGTTTTGGATAGATGGTCGCTTATGGAGGGCAGTTGTTTACAAGAGGTGGTTGCACATGGAAGTTCAAATGAATTGTACTTTGTTACCAAATTTGCAGGTATACACTGCTGTATTCTGTGTTAGAATATAAATTTTGGTATAAGGTTCCAGTGACTTTGCAGTTTGGTATTTCAGGACAAAGAAATCGGGTCCCAGTATTGGTATCCCACTACCCCCCTCCCCTCGCCTCCCCCCCCCCAACCAACCTGAAAGCGAAAAATTAACCCTTTTGTACATCAGCTGCGGCTAAGTACTGCAGCTTGTAAGCAGCAACCGTGAAAAACAAGATCATCTTAAATTAAATACAACCTTCTCTGCTCAACGCAATCGATGTGACAGTCTGGTCATTTTATATGATTAATGATTAAAACAATGAAGGCTTAAATATTTTATATATGATACAAAGAGAATATTACACAAACCCCATTTTCTCCTGGCGGCTGCAGCCAACTTCTTCCTCATTGCCATAATACGTACTGCATAAATCTGAGCATACTGCCTTGAAAAGCTCCTCTCCTTCAATAAAAACCGTTCAGATTCATATGAATAAGAACAAGTCGCTCTTTCAATTCTCTCTACTTCTTCCTCCTCCTGATTTGAAGGTTCAGAGAGCAGTCCTTGGGCTTTGATCTGGGTAGTCTTTACATCCAGCTCCTCTGCACTGAACATGTTCTTTAAAATGATTCTGTTACCCCAAGGTGTAGGCTAAAAGACGACTCAATAACATTTAACCAGCGAACTAGCCGTCGCCATTTTCTTTTTTCCCGGATAACTTTTCGCGCCAAATTTATGGGAGACGCCGCTGATTGGAAAACGTAATGTTCGCTGAAAACTACAGTGGGGTGGGTGTATTACTTTTTCAGTTTTTGAGTTGCCGAAACAACCCTATTATCCTTCCAAACTAGCTTGATTTTTCGGTAGCATTCCTGGACGAATTTTCCCTAAAAATAAAAAGAGAAAAGGTAGAAAAAGGATCTACAACATAATTCTATTCCCAGTTCCTCTCCTGTTATTTGCTCTGTGGGACTGGACACCAGTGAGTTCAGAAAATGGCGCGGAAATGAACCATGTTTAGAGCTTCTTGTAAAGTGTTTTAATTTTTGTCAAAGAATCGAGATTCAAATCCGACAAGATGCCATCAGTTTCTAGGTCAGATTCACCGCCGTCGAGTCCAAGGAGCCCACCACGTAAGAAAACAAGATTCTCTTTAAAGCTCAAAAGCAAAAAGAAAGCTTCGAGTGCAAGCGATCCTGAAAAGAGAGAGAAGTTGTATCCTATCTTCAGCCCTCCAACAGCCCAAAATGCGAGTGACGATGAGACATTTGAGCCCCCAAAGCCACCACCACCTTATGCAGGATTAAGGAATCATGGAAATATTTGCTACGCAAACGCTGTTGTGCAAGTTTTGCGGCATTGCCCGGGAATATTAAAGTCTGTTGATGAACTCGATTCACTTGTCAAAGACAATAATTATTGTGCGACAGAGGGGAAATCATTCGACACGAGAACAGACGGGAAAGAAAACGTAAGTAGGGGAGCTTAGGTTCAGTGTTGCATAACAAGATTAGGTTTATTTGCGATGGAAAGTGAAGTTTGAGTGCGTAAGGGGACGTGGGAGTAATTCAATACATTTTTCATACATGTTTACTCTGCGAGACAAATCTCCATCCTCTTCCCTCTAAGTTTCCGTAAAGGGTAGATATCCCACAAGATACACCACAATTATGGATGGGAGGGTGGGGTGGTGGTGTGTAGTGGTCTCATTGTGGGGGTGAGGGGGCACTTAGCAGAAGCTTGTGTGAGGAGGTGGACAATTTGTAGACTTGCCACAAGTTGACCTCTCATTAGCTCTTAAAAGCAAGCTCCAATGAGGTCGCACAGTGACTGAGCAAGTTGTGAGGTCAACTTGTTTTGCCTGAATGGATTTGAATCACACTATAAATTAATGCGGGAAAAATTACTGGCATATGCTTTCTCGGGAGTGGCATCAAATATCACTCACTCTCCTATTGGTTAATTGTCATAATGTCATGGTGGAAATTTTGACCAGTGAATTTCACGCCAAACAGGTATGAAAAGAACTTTAAAATGGCATAACCAGCCAGGAAAAAAAATAATAAAGGACTTTTAGAAAGTCTAGGCAATTTGGCTTTTTATCAGAATTAACCTTACACCATGGTGAATGCATATTGTGCCAATGGTAATATTTTATTGTTATTGCTGTTAACACCATTAACATTATCATTGTCATCATTGGTATTTCTTCAACTGCTGACACATTTTGTCTAATTGTGTGTGAAATGCTAGCATATCTGCAGCTTATCTACTTTTTTTTGTCTACTTTCACACTTCTGTTTTTTGTTCCATTAATGTACATAGCTTAATACATGTAGAGTGGTTTAAACTAGGATCTAACACCAATGATGCTGTAATTTTGTATTTATTTTTACCAGGGTTCAGAGGATTTGGAAAATTGTTGTGATCAAAAACATGTTGTTTGTGAACTAAGAGAGGTAAGGAAAAATAACACTTATTACCACTAGTAATGGTAAGCAGTCACAGGATTAGCCTTATTTTATTGATTCCCACTCAAACTCAAGGGAGGAATATTTGCAAAAGTGGGATTGAACCAGATCAGATCAATCTTTTTAATGCGCCTATCTGTAACCGTTCGTCCCTAACCTTATTCCTAATCTTCTGTCTTACTACGTGTATCATTGTTTTCTGTCACATTTTTTTAAAATTTTACAAACTGCCTTGAATTGCCTTTGGTACTTGCGGATTTTTGTGTACGAAATTTGTTTTTGAGATAAAAAAAGAGTTGGAGTTTTTTTTGTAGTGACAAAAGTTTAAGGAATTACAGGGAGTGTATCTGATCTGGTCAGATCCAGGTTTTGTTGACGCCTTGTAAGGGAGTTTGAGTAAGTAACCTATCTACATGTGGCTTTTGGAGCAAATTTTAATTTCAGTGGTGAGTATTAGCCTATTTTTGACTTGAATGTATCACTAACATACTAAAACAGTGCATTATTTTGCTTCTAGCTTTTCAGACAGATGGAAGAGCTTGAACAGGACTACAATGACAATAAAGAGAACTGTGAGCATCTTGTTCAAAGGAGAAACTCTTTAGTTCTTGCTGCAAAACCTTTGGATTTCATGCAAACCTTCAGGTGGGTGCTAATACATGTTTACTTAATACAGTTACAATAAAGTTAACGTTGATACAGTTACAAAGTAACACCATTATACTTAGGCTATCCCCCTTTTTTCTTTGTTTGGCGTCAACTGCATTTCCTGATTTTGGGCCGGTCGGTCGGAATGGAAAAAAAAACCTAAAAACAAAAATCACAAGAAGTCTAGGAATAGGAGGCCCTGGTACCCCAGCATGAAGTGAAAAGTTAACATTTACATATTTGGATTAATGAAATGCACAATATAAGGTAAAAAAAGTTCCTGTTTTTGTACCTGTTTTTCTCTATGCTGTTACTATGCTCATTTTTCAGACTAAAAGAATTATTTCAAGTGGGAAATGGTCTTACTATGTCGTTACTTTTTTTGTGTGTGTGAAAATGCCAAAAATTTGGGTCGGTCAGACAACGCTAAACAGAGAAAAAAAAGAGAGAGGATGGCCTTACATGTAACTGACACAGCACAAACATGCCAATAATAGTGGTGTTGACTATCAGCTGATTTTTGTTTGACACCTCCTTTAATCGCACAGTCACACGGATATTGTCTCATCAAACACATTAAAAAGTTGCCGTAAAGATTTTAAAAATTCTCCTTTCTTTTACACATAGGGGTAAAAACCCATTGTTTGAAGACAATCTCCAACATGATGCACAAGAATTCCTGTGCAGTTTGCTAGTAGATCTTCAAGACACAGAAACAGAAATAAAAAAGAAGAGAGAAGGTCCACGAAAAATGTGCATTGGTGATAGGCACGTGAAAAGTTCTCCTTCTGCGAACTCCTTCACCAACAACACAAACCAATGCCATAGTAGTTTTGAAGATTTATTTCAAGGATGTCTTCTACACCAGACCAAGTGTATGACTTGTGAAGATGCAAAAAAACGTTTTGAGAGCTTTCTAGACATCAGTGTGCCAGTTCAAGATGAGCCTAAAGTGCGCAATCTGAAGGCTTTCTCACCAACACCCAAGAAAAGCCGAGACACACAGAGCTTAGCTTGGGCCCTGTCACAGTTTGCAACAGTAGAACATTTGAGTGGAGACAACAAGTATTTCTGTGAAAACTGCCTTACTCTTACTGAAGCTGAGATTTCAACAAGCTTTGATAAGCTGCCAAGAATACTCACAATCCACCTCAAGAGGTTTACTGCAAACGCGCTTTCAGGGTAAGGATTTTGTGCACCCTTTTCTTTCCTGAGGTCAAAAAAGAAGGACCTTTCTTGTACCCTCTCAAGTCTTTTTTTAGAGAGAAGTTGTGCAAATGTATAGATCTTATGATCATGTTCCCAATTCTCATAACCTGCCTGCAGAGGTTGATTTTAATCAATTACACATTTATCAGAAATTAAAGAGGGTGATAGTAATGATTGCTTCTGGGACTTAGAGAACAGCATTTAATAGAATTTGCACATCAGCTGGAGAATAGAGGTTGCAAGAAGTTACCCCTCACCTTTTATGCTCTACTCTCCTTTTTGCACCATCCTTACCATACATACACCTGGAACAAGCCCAAAAATTGGAGGGTTTAATTTGCAGGTGCACAGGTGTGACTGACTTAAATGTCATGAAACTCAAACCGTCATGCTAACACCATCAGTCATACCTGTAGCTGTACCGGAAAGCCCAGAAAGGCATTTACCTTACCTCCCACTAGTTCCCAGTAGTTTAGTGGTAGAGCATTTGGAATAGTAAACAAAAGGTCGTAGGTTCGACTCCTATTGCTAGCACTCAGGTTTTTTCTTCTGAACCACTTACATCTCTGACTGATTAACATTTTTCTCATGGATTCACATGAGTATAAGTAGTTACCTGTTTCTTGTCCTTCCATTGACCAATGGTGCAATACATTAATAACTTTACCCTGATCAATGATCCTCTTGGAGACAAATCAGTATAATCATTGAGAGATTAGTAAGGGGAAACTTGAATAATGTGTATATTTTAAATTGGCAGATTTTCTGGAATGGTCTCCAAGATCACTTCAAATCTTGAGACACCAATGGAGCTGTCAGTCAAGGAATGGTGTTCAAAGACTTGTTCGATCGCCAATCCAACGTATCATTTATTTGGTATTGTGATGCACAGTGGTATGACCTCATGTAGTGGACATTACCAGGCTTACGTTAAGGTAACCACACCCACAAACGCCGATGTAAATAACAACAAAGGGCAGCCCATCCATCCTGACAACAAGCACCATGTTAACGATGGACATGTACATAGAAACATGGTATCTTCTGGGGAGTTTGACTGGAGTCAGATGCCTGCAAGTGAAGTCAATAGAACTTCAGATGGTTGTGACACTTTGGCTAGTGACAGCAAATTATTGGAAAACATGGAAATGACAAATCCTGAAAATGATATCAACGCTTTGCAGAGTCCTGTAGGGAAAGGTACAACAACATGTATGTCTGGGATCTCAAGATACTTTCAGAGATCAAGAAAGCACTCTGTAAAAGAAACCAATGAACAGCTGGAACAAAATGGTGATTTACCAACAGCTGGCAAGAAACAAACACATCATATTACACCAACCCACAGCTTGAAGAAAATCCAGAGTTTTGGGTATCGAGGTGAAAAATCCAACAGAAGAGCAATTCGGCAGCTAAACTTTCAAGAGAATAGACAAGATAATAAGTTTCAGAACACTGTTACCATTAAGGAATCATCAAATTCCGTTGAACAGAGTTTACAATTTGAGAAATCTCAATGGATTCACTTTGATGATGCTGAAGTCGTGATATTGGAGGAATCAGATTTAACAGCAATGCTGTCTTCAGCTGAGTCATCGTTCACTTCACCATACTTGCTATTTTACAAATTAGCTGAACAGTAAATTGTTACATTCAACACATGACCTTTTAACATAAAACAGGCATTACAGAGAAATTCACCACCATGTGGGTTTGAGGGAATTCTTCTTCCTATTTCAGTTACCTGTACTTTTTTAATGAAACCTTGAATTTATTCACAGAACATTGCCCTGGCCATTTTCCTCTTTGAGTATTCTTGTTGGAGAAAATTGAACCCAAAAAGTGAACATCTACATCTACAACCTATAACTTTCATAATCCTAATCAGGACAGTTTGTAAGTATGAGACGTTTTGTAAAACAGAGTAAACAAAGTGTTTCTGTAAAGCACTGGTCTGGACAATGTTCTCTATGTGACCAGAAGGTTGCTTGCCAAATCCAGGTAAATTTAAGCCAAAGGACAACAGCCTAGCTACACTCCTGCATCCTAACAATAACAGTAGGCTTTTGTTAAGGAATAATACCTTCAATATTTCTTACTCTAAGATCTCTTCCTGAATCCAGTCCCAGGATCTAAGTGCTTTCCGTACTATTTATTTAAAGGTTATGATAATCTTGACAAGGTTAGGCTTGTGTCATTGTGTTGGCGCAGAGGATTAACATGATCGCTAGTACACTTGAAACAAATATGAAAACAAGCAATGCAGCTATCATGAGTAATACTTGATAAATTTGTAAAATATTAATATTTCTGGCCTTCGCAGAGGTTCTTATGTGGAAGTCACATGGAAGAATCCACTGCACTATTAGTGAGTACAAATCCTTAGAAAAAATTAAGAGTTGGTAAATGAGTTTTTACTTGTCACCCATCATTATCACCCCATCAAATCTGTACAAACATACCACTACTACATTTGCCTGTGAAATTAATAATTCTTTATTATAATTATTTTTATTATTTTTTGTGAGTTATGCATAAATTTTATAAAGTTTGATAGTATTAAAGCTATATTTTATTTGAGAGGTAGTACATTGTTTGTGTGTAAGGATAGTTAATTGTATCAGCATTCCAAAAGTAGGTTCAGGTGAACGTAGTCCTGAATAGGAAGATGACTACCGCACAGGTTGTCGAAACGTCAGTCACTATCAACAACAACAGTCCTATTCACCCGGACGATCAAACTCAACCTACTTTTGAAGTGACTCTTAGGTTCAAACCTTTCACAGTTGTATCAGCATTACTTGAAATGTTTCATAAACCTAGGTTGTTTTAGGCTCTCAGTTAGTGGCATTGAGCAAATAGAAAACCAAGTGCCAAAAAAAGGGAGAGAAGGATCAGAGGGCTGTCTCTCACTTATGCCTGCATCTTAACTGACTGAGAGCCTGGAACAGTAGTCAAACCTGGAATTGCATAACACATTTAAGTCTCACAAAGTGTTTGTAGTATATCAAACCCTCCATGAGGGCACACTGGTACAGTGACTGATGTGAAGCAGACCCAGGAAATATGTATTTAAAGGTGGGGATTGCAGAATTTGAGACCAAATGTACCAGTAAAAGATTCTGGGAGACTGTCCACCTACCCCTTCCTTGACCCCAAATTTTTTGCTTAAAGTAGAAATTTATCATTAAAGTTAAACAAAAACTCTGTTTGCGGTTTTCTTTCAAAGAAGCTTTAAAAGATCAAGATTTCCATGAGTCAGGCAGGACTCATAACTGCACATCATTTATTCCCTTTGGACTAAAACTTTATCTCTTAATAGCTACATTACAGATTTCCAGGTGTTTCCAGTTCTAGAAACATGTCTTGATTTACAATTATTATTTAGCAAGGGATTTATTGTTAATATAACTATTTTGTAAGATGCAATTTTGATACATGTGCCATGTTAATTCCTATCTTCTAAAATGCACTAATTATTACTATGTTGCCCAGTATACACCTAAAGACTTTTCAGATTAGACTCTTTCAGTTACTGGCAAATTCCAGGAGGTATTGTACTACTTACAGTCCACCTTTTCTCTAAAATCCATTGAGTGTTTATCCACAGTGAGTGCATAAAGAAAAAAAATGAGCTCTCCCAAAAGGGATTAGGACAAGATGAGTTCTTGTTCCTCGGGCTTATGCCCTCATTTATCATGGATTGTGGCTTTGCCACTCATCACTTAGGTGTGTGTTGGGTGTGTTACCTCGGTAACTTTTGAAGAAGATAAGAGAGAGCTTGCAGTCTAAAGGGGTATAATTACCCAAATTACCTACATAGATACGTGTCGCTCAATTGGGTCATGATTTGTGGGCACCTTTATCTAAAATGATGTACACTGTATCATACGGCAGAGATTCTTTAGAACAGGCTATCACATTTTGAAGCTACAAAAAAAACTAAACTAATAATAATCAAAGGTTACAGAGCGTTGGCGACAATGATCTACGGGCAAACGTTTTTGCTCCAATGCAGTGCTTTGCGTAGGTTTCTGGTGACAGATGGTCAAAACACGTATGATCAGATTAAGAGGGGTAGAAGGTCATAATCTGCGTGATCAAACTGCGTTCTTAGTGGAAGTCCAAACAAATACTGGCTACAGACATGTGACGCATGCAAAATAGAAGTGAACACAAGACAGCAATTTTCTTTTTCTTTTTCTGAACTTCGATACACCCCTTTAGAATTCAATTCCAGAAAAATTTACCATCATTTGCCAAATTGAATGAGATGGAATAAAGGCGATAAAGTTTGAAGTAGCGTAAATATACTTTTTAAATGACATTTTTGTATCCGTCGCCATCGTTGTTGCTTGGGCTCCCTAATGTCTGTATTAAGGAAGTTTAAATACAGACCTCCTAGTGAGGCAATATCAGCACCATAGTGGACAAACTATCCATACAGTTAAGTTAAAATGAAAGATAGGCATAGCTGCACTTTGTCCGTTACTGATACTCACTTTCTCAAACTAACTAACGGCTAAAGTGTAACATGGAATACACAAGCTCAGTGTTTTGCTTTAAATGTGTCCTTATCACGCCTAAGATGTCCCATAACATCAACTGGATCTGATTTTCCTGCATACCTCTTAACACCCTCCTCCCTACAAAAAAATAACAATAACACTAAAAGTTAGACCTCTTTCAGGATGCGCCACCTATACACAATAGTCTATGTGCCTTGTCACAATTAAGAAACAGCTTATTTTTATAACTGAGTCAATTTGTATGATCCCTAAATATTATTCCATGACCACACTTCAGCAAGTTACTCATTGAAGATTACCATATTTATTCAATTAGGTAACCTGGGTGCTTATTAAATTGTTGGTCCCGGAGAGTGGGTGCTTATCTGAGGTTTGCAGAAGTAGTAAGTTAATTGTCCAACAAAACAGTACATAATAACAAAACGTGAAGATGTGCCAGAGCAGAAATTTAACTGTTTATTCAAAGTTTGTTAACAAAAAGAATCAGAAGTCAGTCTTCAAGGAATCTTTTAGTGGTATAGTATCATTCAAAAGCAAGTTGACATTCCATTGCGAGTCTAGATTCTCAACTCAATTCTTGATTTCTATCGAGAATCAAGAACAAGTTATTGAGAACTGAATCAAGGAGCGAGCCTTGCGGGAGAGTAAACAAAAGATTCACCCATGACTGATCTCTTGATAATTTTACATTGACATACACTGTACCTAGTCAATTTCTTTCTCATTAATTTTAGTATACAGTAAAAGATCAATAAGCAAACTATCTGGTGACATCTTGTAGACGTCTCACAAGGTAACGTCTGAAAATGGGTCAGTCGACGAGAAGCAGATAGGGCAGCTAAGAAATAAGAATCAAAACTTTTCTTGTCCACTTCTTTTTTGAGGGGGGGAGGAAGGGGGGCGCATAGGGGAAGGTAGTAGGAACTTATTCGAGGCTGGGCGCTTATTAACTTTTTCTCCCTACAGGATGGGCACTTATTTAAGGTAGGTGCTTAATTGAAAAATAAAGTATATTTAAACATGTTTTACAAAATTAATTAAAAGCTTTTGGCATCTTCTTAAAACCTGTAATTCATTTATGGCCTTTTTAACCCCTTATGGAGGAAAGTTAGTGCAGAAACAGCCTTGAAGCAATTTAGGTAACAGTAATTTCTTTCTTTCCTTCTTCATTCTCAAAGAAATATAAAAAGCTCATCCAATCATGACTGTATGACAAAGACTAAAAAACTAAGAGATATTTCTTATGATATTGTTATCATTATCGTTATTAGTAGAATGTATTATTATTAACACTAAACTGTCCATATTACTTACTGGACTCTCATGAAAGGATTAAACTTAAACTCATCTCCAATGGTAGATGGTACTGTTGGCACATTTGATTTCCGTTTGTTCTGCAAAATACATTTGCAAACCACAGAATTCATTTGAGTTAAATTTAGTATGTCTATTTATTCTGACTTAGAGACTAGAGGAATATCTTACCTTTGCCCACTCAATTGCTTTGTGAATTTCAGCATTATCTGGTTCAACATGAACTGCATACTTCAGATTGTTTTCAGTGTACTCATGACCACAATAAACAAGCTGCCAAAGAGCCAAAACACACAGGTACCATTAGTTGTTTTGCTAAATGTTTCCTTAAAATAAAAATAAAGCATACTGTAATTCAGTTAACCAAGGAGACTGCTATGATAAGAAGCCTAATAACTCAAACTCTCCGCTAACTCGAACTAAGTCCAATTTCCCTTGGATTTCACCCTACTTTCCAGTCATTTTTACTCAGTTAACTCAAACTCGAATAACTCAAATTCCCTGCTGACTCGAACTAAAATTCCTTTTCCTTGATCAAAAAGTCACTGAAATTTACTTGTGACGAGTAAGGCTCATGGCTAGGTTGCAGGTAGGGCAGGCATTTGGGGTGTTCTTGCTACCTGGGTTAGGGGTTGGCAGCTCAGCCCCCAGGTTCCTAGGCACCCAACCTCCATACGGGACTCAGGCGTAAAACTGTGATGATCTGCTCTGCATATATACTTACCCACAAAAATTGGCTAGGCTACCAGTTTAGAATGATAATGCCATATTACCACATCTGGGATGTTATGGTCACCTTTTACGCAACTATGTGGCAAACATGATCCTCTGCACGCACACTGTACATATAGGCAGATAGCATGCATCTTGAGGTTCCTAATGGTATACTTACAGTATCTTGAGGTAATTTTCCTAGGATTTCAATCAGAGCTTTGTACATTTCAGGTGGACGACCTTCAAAAAATTTACCACACCCAGCAACAAATAGAGTGTCACCTGAAAGGTAAAAGGATAGAGGATGAATGTGGAGTTTTCCAAGAATAAGAAGAAAAAAAAGATAATTTTCAAGATGTTTCCCCACATTGCCTGGAAAAATGTTAAATTTCCATCCTAAAGTGTGCATTTCGGGACATAAATATCTCATTTACAACTATAGGTATGCAAAAAAGGAAAATCCTTTTTGGGGTAAATGAAAATATCTAGGCTTACCAGTGAACACAGCATTTGGTTTCCCATTAACCACATAGCAAATATGGCCACTTGTATGGCATGGAGTGAATAAACACTTGACATTAAGATTTCCAATCTTAAAGGGAAGTTACCAAGAGACATTGAGTTAAGTCACGTCTAATTAATTAGAAAAAATGAATACCTACTACTTTAAGGTAGGTTAAGACTTATTGATCATGAGTCAGGAACTCAATAAATAATAATAATAATAATAATAATAATACATGATAATAATAATGAATCTGCCCTGACCATCTGCACCCCCTCTCCCTCCATCCACCCCTAAAAAAGGGAGGGAGCTCAAAATCTCTGAAACAATCCAGGTGTCCAACAATTCTACTTTTGTGCAAAAACTGAGATAAGACTACCATTACAATCACTAAAAAAACAGTGTTCTGACAAGGACTTTGTACACATGTAGGGTCCACAGGACACATAAAGAAGCTAAAAGGGGGTCATGAGGGAGAAAAGTGGGTCACAATTATTATTTTTGTTTTGTTTTTGTTTTCCTTCTTTGCACCCTTGGGACCCCCTGGGCTAATTATAGTGCAGCATTTCCCAAAAAAGGGTGGCAATGCCACAATGCCACGGTCTGGTAAGAACACTGTTAAACTACTTCCCTGGCTGATCCCCCTTAGAGAAGTTTGTTCATAGAATAAAAAGTTACGTGTACATTGACTTGACATTATACCATGGCTAAAAAACTAGATAAGCAGAGTCAAAAGGTTAAACTACTTGTCGCCCATGGTGGAGAAAGTGGGGTGAGTTGGAAAAGCGGTTTACGAGTCAGCTTTTCCACTTAGCTGGAAGGCAGGTTCTGTGATGAGAAAACACTTGTGCCGGTAACCGTGTCCCGGCTTCTAATGAAACTCCCATTGTAAGCAATCTTGATGTGGAAGTATGTTTTCTACATGGGCCTGACAAGAAACAGTTCCACAGGTGCATCCTACTAGAGGAATGTATCATTGGAGAAGGAAAGTATCTGTACCTTCAACTGGTCTCCATGACCAACTTTCTTGTTAAGCGCCCCAATTCTATCATCACCACCACACACTGTCAGTCCCTTCACAAGCCCAGCTAGCTCCCCATTACCACCTGCATGATCCCTACCACAGGAAAAAATAACAGATTTCCATTTTTGGATATTTTAGGGTATTTAAAGAATACCCATAAAAATCCCAAATTTGGCAAAGTGAGACAAGTCCGGCCCCAACCAGGGAATTCCCAACCAAGTTTCCTGATTGGGACTTGTCTCACTCTTTCAAATTTGGGATTTTTGTGGGAATTCTTTAAATACCCTAAAATATCCAAAAATGGGAATCTGTTATTTTTTCCTGCATACACACATTAAATGTTGGGGAAAAAATAACACTTTCATAACAACTAAAATAGGTATGTGTTGGTGACCAAGTATAAGGTCAAGATGGCTGGATGTTGGACAAAGTCAAGGTAAATAGAAATACAAAAGAAGAGAAAAGAACAAGGTGAATATCCAGCCAGTAAAGGATTTATTATAAGGCCAAGAGCACTTTATTCTTGAGATCAAAGTAGGAAATACTGAATGGAAAGGAATCCAACATTGTCAACCAAAACTATATATAAAGGCCAAATTATTTAGAAAATATTCACCATCTTTTTTGATGTCAATGTGCACAACAAAGAAAAGCAACTTCACCTAAGTCAGTGGTGACTAGGTCACTTTTCATGCATCACGAAAAACATGCTTTGATCAGCACAAATATGTTATTGCTTGCACTGTGCTTGCGTGTACAGTCCTTGCGTCTGAATCACATTTGAGCTGGAGTTGAAGATATAAAATTATGATGATTTACTGTTGAGAAATAATATCTGTACCGAGGCCCTGCCAGCGTAAATTCTGACAAGCGACATGGCCCAAAAAGTAGCGACAGCGTGTACAATGAAATCGCGACAATCGCAAAGCCGACAATAAGCGACAAGCACTTATAAACACTGACACAAGACGTTTTAAAATTCAGACGGCGACATGGGACCCCCCCTCTTGGTGTTGGGAAATACACTGTTGATTCACTTTTGTATTGTGGTGTGGTTATATTGTTCTGTGTCTTTACTATCTTTGGCATTACAGTCGAACCTCCACTAACGGCCACCTCTCTACAGTCCATTCATTCACTCTTGTTTCAACCTCTCTACAATGGCCACTTTTTTGTGTCCCCAAGGTGACCATTGTAGAGAGGTTCAACTGTATATCAAATTATTGGTGATTGCAAATGTCCACAACACCAAAAAAAAAACTACCACTCAGTTTTCAAGTGAACATTAATGGGATACTTATCAGTGTGACTCCTATGCAAGTGTTCTTTCGGCTCATTGCAGAATAGAATGTCTGTATGGAAAGCCATTTATAAGAATACAATGCCATACAGGATGTTAGCACATACCAATGATGATGGGTGGTCAGTACTGTTGTAAGTTTAACTCCTTCTTTCTTAACAGCTGCAATGACCTATAAAAAACTCTGTGTCAGAATTAATAATCCACTTTTTTTTAAGAGAAGGCAATGACAAACCTGAGTTCTATCATCAGTGAAAGGGCTTCATGCAAAAAACTTCAAGGGAACGAAAAAAATGCAAGGTTAATGAATCAGGGAGAATGCCCAGGGAAGGAAATATTACAGTAAAGTTCCGAAATTAACAACCCCTCAAAAGTAGCGACCCTCCAAAAGTAGCGATGAAATGTCGCAGCTGTTAGCAAATCCTGAAAGGAGGGATCTCCCCGAAAATAACGACCCTCCAATAGTAGAGACCTCAAAACTAATTTCCCTTTTTGCGAAAAATATCGGATATGACAGATATATCCTGAACAAATGCCACACTGATCCGAGGTTTACTAATAATGATTATTTGACATTCCCATTCATAACTCTTAAAGTACAGGATATAAATAACCTTTTTTCAAAAAGTATTCCTTTCGTATTTTTTGCGATTTTATTTTTTAAAGTGCCCACGTGGAGTACACGTTTTAGCCATCCAAAAGTAATGACACTTCGAAAGTAGCTATCTGAAAGTAGCGGTAGCAGAAGGGTGCTAAATCTGATAGTATCATGGGTGGTGACTTTCGGAACTTTCAGAGCTAGTCAGAGCTAGTATCACAGCCATTCCCTTTTTCTGTTTGACACATATCCTGTATTTTGGGCCATCAAAACAATTCTTTTATACAAATGTCATTTAATATACAGTGTAGTTATGAGATGTCTTTATAAGCAAAATAATGATTACTTAAAGAGACAGAATGCTTTTTGGCTAAATATCAATAAAAAACTGAACAATTAAATCAAGTTTTCAAATCATTCATATTAATTTGTAATGGTTATAAGCCAGTCTACACTGTTCACATTTTATAACTTCTTCTTGGTTACTACTGCTGCGGTACATAATTATAATCAATGACCTAAATGATCTATCAGTCCAAAAATGGAGATCATGTGGTTTTACTGAGGAAAAAGAAATTTCAAAATTAATAATTTATTGTTTAAACTTCAGGGTGTTTAGAAACAAATAAAAATATACCTTTTTGGGTTCTACTGGATCAACGATGGCAGCTTCTTTTGTGTCCTCATCAACAACAAGATACATGTAATTATCAGAAAGTGCAGGAAGTATATGAACCTTCATGTCAGAATGTGCAATGCTTATTGGTGTGGAATGACTCTCAGTAAGTGAGGAAAGGCCTCTTTTACTGATGTGTCCAAGAATTCCTATAAGCAAAGACACCAAGTGTTAAGAAACTAAGGATACCATGGGAGTTAAAAAAGTCACATAAGTTACACCAAAAGCTTCTATCATTATTTAGGGTACGTTGTTCGTTGGTGTGGGTCAATGAAATAAATGCCACTCTCTAAAACACAGGTCTGAGTAAAGGTCACCATGCTTGACCTGTGGAATGTAAACTAGGCTACGATAGGGTATGAATAATGTTGCTTATGAGTCAAGTCTTGCTGGCTTTGTTACGTACGTGGTATACATGCTAACTCTCCCGAATTATCTGGGAGTCTCCTGGATACGACAACAATCTCCCAGTCTCCTGTACAGGTCACCAAATCTCCCGGATAAAATCAAGTTATGAGCTTTTCTGTGCTCTAATTATTTGGAATCTATCCCATTTTCTCCCAAAATTTGAATTTTTTTAATCCAAAGTTCAGTTTCTGGGGCATTTTTGCACGTATTTCATCACTGACAAAGAGTTATTTCGTCATTACAATCATAAAAGCGAATTGTAATGGTCTGTACGTCATGTAAGACTTCATATAATGTCCTAAGCCAATAAGGGACTGCATCGAATTGTGCTTATAGGAGAGGGGGTCTGAGGTCTGAGTTGGAGCGGGGAGGGGGTAATGTAAAAGGAAGAGTCTCCAGATTTTAGATTTCCAGAGGTTTGCATCTCTGATGTGGTACAAAGAATCAAGAGTCTTGGGTTAATTAAAGTTAGTCTTGAACATAAGGATTTTTGGTGCCTAGTCTAGAATAGGATTGGAAGATGCATCCCATGGTCTGGCAGGATCTCCACAGGTATCACTTTCCTGTTTTAGATAACAGGTGGGAGAATAAGAGTGTATCCATTACAAAAACAGTTGCCTGTGGAGGAGGCTTAGCCTGCGAACGGCAGACGTATCTCCGATCATCGCTTCTCTCGGAGGGAGAGAAGGAGTGTGTATAATATGCGAGCCAGCGAGCCAGCGAGTCATGCGAGTCAACATGTGAGTCAACATGCGAGCCATGCGAGTCATGCGAGTCAGCATAAAATAACTTTGTTTTTAACGTAAACTACTAAGTAACGTATTTATTCCAAAGGCACGTCCTTTAAAATTCAGCTTCAGAAAAATTCGCCAACATACAAATTGAACGGGGTGAAACAATAACAAAGGTTTGAGAATTCGTTAAACGTCTTAAACAAAGGTTTAAAGGTTCTTCCTCGGTCACGTTTAATGAGTCACACCATATGTGGTAAGTCACGTGACCAGAACATAAAAAAACACTCTTTAAAACCCAAACGTCTTGCGTCTTTCACAATAAAACCAATGCCAATGGCTTAAGAATATCGCGATAAAAAATCTGACTTACTAACAAGTTTAACGTTCCTTCTCAAAATTCACATTTATCGAAAAAGCTATGCGAGTCAACATTTTACGAGTTTATTCCTTGCGATTTACTTAAGATATTACTTTTCTTCAAGTTTATACACTCGATAAAATTGCGGGCGACATGACTTTCGGGCGACTTGACCGGTTACCTTTTCATACATTTTCTTTAAAAGACTTTCTTGCTATCATCTGAACACTAATTTCATGCTACAAATGTTAAAAAAGTTAAATTGCTTATGATTCGCCAAAAAATGGATTCTCTTTCCTTCGAACTTCTGTCTCGCATGGCTCACATGATGACTCGCATGACTCGCATGACTCATTGGCTCGACTCGCATGACTCGCTGGCTCGCTGGCTCGCAGTTTGTCAAGACCCGGAGAGAAGAGAAGATCGGAAATACGTCTGCAGTTTGCAGGCTAGAGGAGGCTAGGTCTGATGTAGGTTATGGGTTTAAAGATCAGAGCAGTACCCACTTGGAGTACCTCCCTAGGGATTATTAGGAGTTACAGGGGTGAGGGTGGGGTGGGGAATCAGAGGTAGTAGACTTCATGGTATAGTTAGCATAGGCTCCTGTCATAGTGCACTCTCCAGGAAGTATCTATAATCAAACTGAAAAAGGCATAAAATACGCAGTCCTTCCTTCAAGGGCTATAGCCAGGGTGCAGGACAGACTGTAGTGAGCTGCGGTGGAGGAGGGCCGAGGAGCTGAGTGTAATCAGCAAAAACGCGACTTTGTGGGACGATTTCAGCAAAATAGGCCAAAAACCAGAAAACTGGGCGAAACTTACCCAAAGCTGTTGCTGTTCTAACAGCTTTCGAGGCGATACAAATACCTCTTCTTGCACTCCACACGGACCTCAACCACGACATTGATGTAGCCGTCATGCAAGCGGCACATAATGTCGCCTACAAAGCGTGTAAGAAGGTCCCAGTACCACACGGACTGTGCGCCTGTTACTTTCTGTTTATAACCAAGCATTTGTTGCCTTCTTGTTCCAAAATGCGGTATTTTCACCCAAACGGATTGCTCGAAAACTGTGCCAAAATGAAATTCAAGAAAAAGCGTACTTATTTTTGAGGAAATCATGTCTCGCAAACAAAATCCGAGCGAGTGTTCAAGTGCCAAGCGTGATGAAAGCGGTGGTCAAAGCGGTGTTGTTGTTTTGGCGGACATGATCACGAGCGCTCTAGAAAATGTGAAGTTGGTAAGGTTTCATAATTAGCGATCGCTTACAATTCTAAAAGGTTACTTCTGAAGGCTTCGAATATTGTAAGCCTATATATAGTTTGCGGATATACTAAACTTTGGCTTGACTAATGCAAATTAAGTCTCCTTGGTAATAATGGTAAATGACTGAGCACACAAGTAGCACATTTAGTATTACATTCTGTAGTGATGAGCTCTAATAAAGCCATTCAACCACTGCATAGAGAAATTCAAATACTGACCATGTCAGTTTGCCGTGAGATCTTCACAACTCACTGTGAGACGGGGGGATTCACTTAATCGAAATTGGGAGTCCCCCAGCAGGACCGGGGGACTTGGCAAGTCTTCAAGATTTGTACAATAAGGCAGGCACCCATAATGTAATCAAGCTCTGCCAACTTGAGGGGAATGGATAAAGCTGATGGTAGAGTACTAATACTTAACCTGTGAAATAGATAGTAGTTAATATGCACTTCTATCATGTTTATGCAGTTTCAAATTCTTTTGTTTACTTGTCAATATTTGGGATTTATAAGTATGTTTCACAGGGGGGACGAGGGGGGGGGGGGGTAAGTAAAATCACTCTTGCTTCAGATCAAGGTATATACTTTTCCACATACATGTAAATAAACAGCAAACATTTTGAGAAATTCCCTTTTGATTCTTTTACATTGTATTTTCCTTTAGGGTAGAACAAAAGATTATGATCAGCTGATCCAAAGACTTGCCAACCCTGAAATTAAGGTAGATAAACTTTGCTTATAATTAATTTTGAGAATATGTTTATACCATGTATTATATTCTATTAATTTATGGCTAATAATTACGGTCTTGACTTGTAAAATGTTATTGATGTTTTGGATTGGTGCAGTGGAACCTTGATATAATGAACCATATAACAAAGTCCTTGAACAATTTTCTTTACCCCCAGTAATAGGTATGAAAATGAACCTCGATATATGTAACAAAACCTCATTACAGGAAACAAATTTTGTCAGTCCCCTGGCCCTTCGTTTTATCGAGGTTCTACTGAATTTAGACTTTCTCATAGTTTGAATTAAATTAACAATGGCTCAATCAATTCCAAGTGTAACTATCACTCAGCAACCTCTGGCATTTATTAGCCGTTTGTCTGCATTGCATTTAGCTGTCTTTTACTTCTCTCCCAATGTTGAATCAACAATTTTTTGCTTTCAGGAGGTACATTTGCAACGATTTTTGAAGGCCCTGACAGGTTGTTCATCTGCCCTGACAAAGCAGTATGATACCCTGGTTGGTACAGTCCTGGTAAGAAAATATGTTTTATTGCAGGTTCCTCTTGTCGCCTGCAATCCTAATCTCCAGGTTGTTATTATGCATGCGTCACATGTATGCAGCCAGCATTCGTTTGGACTTCACTAAGAATGAATGGAATATACATAACACAATTTGATCATGCGTGTTTGGGCCTTCTATCACTCATATAAATCTGATCATGTCATGTTTTGTCATGTGAAAATTAAAAACCCAAAGCAAAGCATTGGAGCAAAAGAGTTTTGACATTTGATCGTTGTCGCCCACACTCTGTAACCTTTGGTTGTTACTAGTTTACTCTTTATTAGTCAAAATACATTATACTTTATAGATATTTATTGACAATTTTCATTCATCCCGATAGAACACCAGATGGGCATCATGTGGTGATGATACAGTTGAAGAATTCATTGAATTCCTGACAAGCCTGCTGTCTGCTCAGACTTATTATTTGCGGGCCTGTCTTCGTGTAATTGTCAAGCTTTTCCTCCCAGGTTAGTTGGTGTCAATAACACAGCCCTTCTTGCAATGCCCATGCCATATCAATTCAATTCAATAGACAAACAACCATAAAACCTTGTAGTTTCCACAGTACCTTAAAGGTTCATACAGATGACCATATTCAGCAGTAGGAATCCCGCTGCCTTATAAGCTTAATTCAATGATCTCTGGTTTACAGAGCGGGAGGTCACATGTTCAATTCCCATCGGGACCAGTACTCAGGGTCTTTAAATAACTGAGGAGAAAAAGACTAGACTCTTGCTTCATTTCAAGCATTTAGAACATCAAAGAACCCACCAACTGTTTGTAAAGAGGATGGGACATAGTCCCCATGTGGTGGTCTGCTTCTGGCTGAGTTAGCTTAAAAGGCTTCTGAGTGAATGAGTTCACACTACACATACAGCCAGAGTTGAAGTCAGGCTATTTGCCAGGTGCTGGAACCTTCACTCAGAACTCAGAACACTCAGACAACTGAAGGATTGTTTACAAATCCCTTCCCTCAGAATTTTAATACTCCAAAGTGCTTCACACAGCACATCTGTGCTTTGTATGTCAACAATGGTTACAGATTGTACAGTACAGCAAGTGTCTAAGCAAATGATTTCTAGGTTTAATTCCAATGTATTCACTTTCCAGAATACAGTCAATGAGTGCGCCCTAGGGATTATTTTTTAACATCTTGATTTTTGTTTTCTTTTTAAAAACATTTTCCATTCATTTGTTATGGTCACCGTACTGGAAGGGTGTGGCTAAGTGCTTTTCAACAGCTTTAGGTTTAATAGTAATGAGTGATCTGTGTGGCAAGTTAATGAAATTGTAAGCTGCAAGCAAAAATGTTGAATACCGGTAGTCAGTGGTTTAATATTTTAGTGTTGTTGTTGTTGTTACATTGAAAAGCAGTAACATTGATATTTTGTTTATAGTTTTAACTTAGCTAATCAACATCAGTGCACAAAGCTGATCTTGCCAGCTACCCTGCATGCACATTATAATAATAAAATAATATTTTGATATTATTGTGAATAAAACTTCTTCCAACTTTAATACAGGTATATCTAAAGATCTTGAACTTATCAGTTCTGAAGGTACAGTAACTGAAAGGAAATTAATTATTATTAATTAATTATTATTGTTGTTTATATTGTCATTGTATACAGTGTGTCTATGTGTTTTCTTTTGCAGCCAATTTTGGCTGAGCTGTGTTACAGGTCAAAATTAAATTCTGGTGAAAATTTTTTAACCTAGGTTGATTCTCAATTTCCTTTGTCTCCTAGGCCTTATTCATCAATAATATGAATAATATTATTAAGCCAATACACACGAGGGGTTTTGCTCACGGAGCATGCTCCAGGCTTATTTTGCACATGTCAGTACACACGAGGGAGCGTTTTCAAGTTCGCTCAATTTGCCCTGGGAGCTTGCTCCCAAATATTTAACCTGTTAAATATCGTGGAGCATTTTTTTTTTTTTTTTTTTTTATTTTAATGAATTTTTTTTTTTTAAAATGTTTTACATTTTTTTTAGATTCTGACTTATGAACACGGAACACGTAAAGAAAAGATACAAAAAACGGAAAGGAAAACTAAACATTATACATCGCAGACTAACACACAATTACATACTTACAAAGAAGAAAACAAACGAAACAAAAACCCAGTACCTTCTTTTCTATTTACATGAAAAAAAAAGTAAAATAAAATAAATAAATAATAAAGATTAATAATAAATAAAGTAAGCGGAGAAGAGATCGTATGCTAATCAGTTTTATATTTGCCCCATTTCATATTGTGGGTCTCCAACTTATTGTTTGACTTAGCGATCATTGTCTCTATTAAGAAGACAGTATTAATTTTGGAATGAAGAACTCTGATGGAGGGAGGATATTTGTTCTGTCTACAAGAGTATAGATATTGTTTTGCCAGTAATAAAATATGATTCACAAATATCTCATCCTCACATCCAATAATACCAAACAGTATATCTTTGTCTGAAAGATTTTCAATCTTGACCTTATGATCAACAAGCCATTTTATAACCTCAGACCAGAAATTCTCAGTATAATGACAAGACAGGAAGAGATGTTCGAGGGATTAAGTCCGATTCACCACACAAGGAGCATGCTGGAGATGGTATAATACCAATTTTGCATAAGAAGGTATTTGTCACAAGGCATCTGTTTAATAATTTATACTGAAACTTCATGAGTCTTTGTATCTAAGGCAACACGATATGGCAAGCTATAGATCTTTTTCCAGTTCAAAGTATCATTGACAAAATTAGCATCAAACTTTAGTTTAGCAGTTGGTGGAGTGACGATTCTGTTTCGAAGTTCTTTATAAACAATTTTCGAATACGCTTTTTCAAGTAAAACAATTTGACCACTTAAGCGTAACTTAATTTCATCACGCAAATTGAATGGTGTGTCACCTGTATAGATGCAGGATTTCAACGATTCACGCCATTGAGTTGGTAGAGCGTCTATTAAAGAGACAAGCCTAAAAACATCCAGCGGCGAAAGGTTCAAGACTCTCAACTCGCTTTTGATTATAAGTTCATGTTTATTCGAGATTAAATCACCCACTCGAAAGATCCCTTTCTCAGCGAGATTTCGAAAATACACAGACTTGTCACCAACACAAATAAATTTGTTGTTCCATAAGATAACTTTTGACAAGTCTTTTCCATTTAAAAACTGTATATTTAAATTATTTATCGCAGAGCACTTTGCAAAAGATTTTAAGCATTCTTCATAAAAGGCTGGTAATTTGATAGTCAATTTCTTCAAATCAAAGTCGCAACATAAGACTAATTTACCACCAACAGGTTTCAGATAATGCAAAAGGATTATTTTCCATCCACTCGGTTGATCATTTGCCAATTTCTTGCAGCAAAGTATTCTTTGTGTTTCAATTATGGAGTTTAAATGTGGGGCTTTAAGTCCTCCATCTTCGATATCACTGATAAGTGCAGAGCGTTTAACTTTATCCTTTCCTTTCCATATAAAATCAAAGATAATTTTGTTCGCTTCTTTCACAAATTCTTTATCCAATGATATCAAGCTCGTGCGATATAAGAAGATAGGGATAATAAAGGTTTTGACAATTTGAATTCTCCCTATGATAGTCAAATCCCTCCACCTCCAGATTCGTAGCTTAAGTTGGACAGAGCTGATTAATTCATTGATGTTTAGCTTTTGTTTTGCTTGAATGTCATAGGTAAAATGTACTCCTCGAGACATTCTTGTAAAAAGTATGGATCCATTGAATAAAAGATGGTCCAAAACCAAAAACGGGTAACGTTCGAAATAAGAAGTCCCTACTAACTGTGTCAAAAGCTTTTTTAAAATCTATACAAACTATTCTTCCGTCAATACTGTATCTCTTTGAGAATTCCATGACGTCCTCTATGGTTCTGACCGCGTCGAAAATGGTTCTACCCTTTACATATGCAGATTGATTGAAATGTATGATGTTTGGTAAAACATTCTCCAATCTCTTGGCAATGGCTTTTGAACCGATTTTAACATCAACATTAATAAGCGAAATCGGTCTCCAGTTTGATAAGTCCCTTTTGTCTTTGTCCTTCTTTTCTGTTAGGGTAATAATGGCTTCTTTCTGAGAGTTTGAGAGCTCACCATGATCATAAGAGTAGTTTAAGCTGTCTACTAATAGCTGTCCTAAGAGGCCCCAAAAAGCCCTGTAAAATTCGACTGTTAGTCCGTCATCGCCTGGTGACTTGTTACTTTCAAACAGCTGAAGACTTTTGTAACACTCTTCAACCGTTAATTTTCCCTCGCAAATTTGAACATCAGTATCAGAGAGTTTTGGCATTTCAGGATTGTTTAAAAAAGAGTTTAACGTGTGTTCAGATGGGCTAAGAGGGTCACGCTCACAAAGATTAGAAAAAAAATTTTGAATTTCTTGCAATATTTTTTTAGGATCCGTGATTAGAACTCCATTATCGTCAAAAACCTTACGGACAGAACTCTTAGCTTTCTTATGTGTTTCGAGGTTTAAAAAGAACTTATTGCTTTTTTCTCCTTTTTCATACCAAGTGGCTTTCGATCGAATTATAGCACCTTTTGCTATCTGCTCATAGATAGAATCATATTCCATTTTTAACAATTCAAACTCTTCCTGGTTCTCAGGAGTTGGTGAACTACCGCATCTCTCTTCCGAAATCTTCAAAGAAGCCTCAATATCAGAGATCGTGGAGCATTTTGCGGAGTGGAAATTCTGCTCCCAAGGATGAAGTATACCCATGAAATCGTTGGTACACACGGAGGAGCTTTGCTCCCGGAACGTGCCCCTGGAGCATGCTCCAGGAGCAAAATCCCTCGTGTGTATCGGCCTTTAGCGTCAGGAGACGAAGGAAATTGGGAATCAGCTGAGGTTAAAAAATTTTAATTAATTTTGACCTGTAACAGCTGCATGTATTCCCAATTTAACAGCTAGAATGATGTCACCAATTTCTGCTCATTGGGTTAACCCAATAACTTGCTCCTGGAAATTTTGCCAAAAGATGGTAGTAGGTTATACTTGAAGCTAGTTGTGCTATTTTAGGGTCGCTACTATTATATTATGGGTATATTATTGGGTAATTATACTATGTTTGCCACATATTATAAAAGTGTGGTTTCATTAATTTTCACTTTTGGGTTTCTAAAAGAAGTTCATGCTTTCAGAATTAGAGAAGAAATTTTCCAATAGTCATGAAGCACTTCAGGCTGTGGTGGAGGTAGTACCCGCGTAAGTGTGCTAACTACCATTAGTATAAACTTGTCCAGGGTAAGAAGTAATGATTCTTCTCTGACTTTAAGGTCATGGGAAATTTCATAGAGATAAGGAGACCTACAGCTAACTTGTAACTCTTAACATGTCACCGTTCAATCAAAAATTATGGCCACTCGAATTACCTAACATAAACATTTTTAAGCCATGTTTTCGCTTGAGTAATTTTATAATAATTTATTCCAACATTAATTTTATAAAATGTTTCCAGATTTATCAAATTTAGGGTCTTATGGATTCACAGGAATTTACAGACAACAAACTTTAATTTGCAAACAAAGAATCTTACTTATATTGCAGGTTCATTATATCCAACACCCCACCAATCCTGGGTGTTTTTACTTCCATACATTTCAGATTTTTCTAGTATAAATGTAAAGAAATACATGCAGAATACATACAGTGTACTAATGTACACACAGAAATTTTGTATAATTGTTACTATTCTCTTATTAGTGCTCCACAGTTTTTAATTCCTGTACTATCTGAAAACTTTCCTTACATGAAAAAGCCGACTGTATTTCAGGTAATTTTGAAAAAGGTTTTCTTGTTGCCATTTTCATTGACTGCTGTTTTTACCGGTTTTTCAGAAAAATCAATTTTCCATGTTATGCAGTCTTTTTGTTGGATTTCTTTGTCATTTTGTAGGCCAGTTATATAAAGAACCTGTTGCAGATCTCAAAGTACCTTCCCAATCTCAGAGCAACAATTTTGGAAATAGTCATTGACCAACTTATAAAGATTGATGTAAGTAAAACTTGCATGACTTAATTACATCTACTCTTATTATTATGTTATTATCTCATTTAAGTGCAGAAAAATAAATTATTACTTTGTTATACTTTTTAATCTTTACTTGCATTTTCCTGGAAATATTAGATAAAATCCCTTTTCTTTAAGTGGTCATGAGGCGAAGCTTTGGAAAATAGACTAATGATTAATATTGGGTAGCCAATAGGGACTTCATCTTTTACTGATTCGTGGAGCCACCTTTAGTTAATGATAATAAATTTTCTCAAAATACATTATACATGTACTCAAGGAGCAGCAAATTTGAAGTTTGTTGTTCAACAACGCAACTATTTGCTTGAAGGACTGTCTTCAGTTTGCTTGAAATTTAGCCATGCAACTATTGGGAATCCAGCAAGTGATTCTCTAAATAATACATGTCTTGAAATTTGTAGGTTGAAATTCCTAAACATGAGCTTGAACACAGTGAAACTGCAATTGAAGAGGAAGAGGAGGAACACACCCAATTTGTTGTGGATTTGGTAAGGTGATATGAACTGAAAGGTGCCTAACAAAAATTCAATTACAGTTGAACCTGATCTCTACATATGTTTGTTGTATGTAATACGCTACTCAGAGAAAGCGGAAAGCATTTAGTGGGAACATGGGATTACACATCTTCACAGTTTGGGTAGTCACTTATAGGAGGTTTGTCGACTGCATATTCCATACGCTCCTTTGTTTTCAGTGGTAAGGGACTCTAAGAGAAACTTTCAAACCTACTCATTGCTTTAATGCCCACTGTTGGGCATGCTAATTAATGTATTTATAACCACATGGATAAGGAAGCCCTCATTTTGTTTTTTATTATTGCACAATTTTCAGTGTAATTATATTGTGACAGTAAGTACATAATGAACTTATGTTGAGATAGGCTGTCATTTCATCATTTTCAGATAACAGTCTCTGCTCTTCCAAGCAATTGCATAAAATGCACATTATTATTTAATTTGTACTTGGGTAATATAAAATTACTGTAAACTGACACTTACAAGCTCTTCCACTCATAAGCCCCCAGTTATAGGCCTATCTACCCGTAAACAAAACAAATACGTCGATGTAAGCTCAGGACTTGTAGAAGGTAGTTTTCAGTAATAATTTCAGGTTCTTATCTGTTTGTGTGTGCTGGCCATGTTCAGGCAGTGAGTTTTAAGTATTATAGTTATATAATTAGATAGAATTTTGTTAAATCATGCATTTTAAGGACAACATTGCTGCAGAGGAAAGTAATGCTGAAAGTGACAAGAGAGAAATCTGCATGGAGAATGAAATGGCAGACAAACTAGATGTTCTCATGGAGATTCTCTTCAGTTATTTTCATGATATCACTCATTTAAATGGTGAGATTCAGACTTTTGAGAGTGCTTGCTTTTCATTCTATAAACTGTGACATGACTGGCTGATATTCAGTATGACAAGTTTCTTTGACATCATTGCTACCATAATAATAAGAATATCAAATTATATATCTAACTTGAGGATATTGATAATAAACATTAGTTTTAAAATAGTGTTGCATGGTGTCTTTTGATAATGCTAGTATGCCTTATAAAATGGTTACAGCCAATGGTTTTGAAATGGCTGACTTTATCAGGGCAGTCACTAAGGAGGCCCTGCCAGGGGTGGGGGGGGTCCCATGTTGCCCGTCTGGATTTTAAAATGTCTCGTGTTGGTGTTTATAATTGCTTGTCGCTTATTGTCGGCTTTGCCGTCACTGTCGCAATTTGGCAGAGGGAGGTTGTCTCTTGTCACAATTTCATTTTACGTGCTGTCGCTACTTTTTGAGCCATGTCGCTTGTCGGAATTTACCCTGGCAGGGCCTCACTAAGGACCGGGCATCAGAGAGGAAAATGGAACATAAAGAACGTCCGGTTCCATATACCTTGCAACTTGAAATCTTAGTGCCAGCCCTGTGTTATCATACACAGACGTGCAGAATTTTATGCAGGAAAGGTTGACATCCTGTAGACATGTCTACCTGTTTTGTATAATTTTTTTCATTTTCACTTGAGTTTGATTTTGAACAATTCATTGTCAATACCATCAGTGTTGGGTTTTCATACCTTACAGTGGCTATTTGACTTGTTTTCAGGGGAACATAATGTTGATGCTGGAACAGAATTGTTTAATGAGCTTTTGGTGGTATGTGACAAGGCTATTGTATTTTTCGTAAAGCTTAACATATCTTTTTTTTAACTAGTTGCTTAAGGTTTACATGGTATCAAGGCAGCTAGTCTTTTTGCAATAGCTAAGGACTGTGCTTTAGCAGATGGCATAAATTTTATGAGTAAAGATTATAAGTAGCCATGTTATGGGGTATTGGGCAGTGTATGTTGAGGCATTGGTGTTGGAAATTTAAAGAAACAAAGTCTTCTGTTGAAAATTCATTTTATGTGTTGTCAATCTTTTTTGGGTAATTTTTCTTGTCGGAATTAATTTTTACCCTCGGCTAGCAGGGTTTCCTTTAATTGTCATAAAATTTTTCATGCATTTTTATTTTGACATTAAATATTCTTTTCTCCCATTTGAACTTGTCAGGTTTTTGAAAATGTCATACTGCCGACCCATGCCTCGTGTCATACTCAGTTTGTTATATTTCTACTCTGTAGCTTTGATCAGGTAGGTAATTTAGTACTTTGAATGTATTCATTTCCTGATAACTAAATTTAACAGATATCATTTACATATTTTTTATCCATCAACTTTCACATCATCATTTATTCTACTCAGATTTTTGCTGATTCTTTCCTTGATGTTTGTTGGAAGAAGGTAAAAGGGTGATTTCATATTCCTTGACCTTTGTTTATTACTTTCTGCAGTGAGGTTTTATCAATTTTCACAGGTATCACTGGTATCCCAATTTCTTTACACTCTGAACATCCCAGTCATCCCTAGTCATCCTAGTCATCCCTAGTCATCCCTAGTCATCCTGGTCATCCCCAGTCATCCTAGTCATCCCTAGTCATCCCAGTCATCCCTAGTCATCCCTAGTGATACAAATCATCCCTAGTCATCCCTAGTCATCCCAGTCATCCCTGTCATCCCTGTCATCCCAGTCATCCCATGTCATCCCTAGTCATCCCAGTCATCCCTAGTGATACAAATCATCCCTAGTCATCCCTGTCATCCCTAGTCATCCCAGCCATCCCTAGTCATCCCAGTCATCCCAGTCATCCCTAGGCATCCCAGTCATCCCTAGCCATCCCTAGTCACCTCTACTCATCCCTAGTCATCCCTAGTCGTCCCTAGTCATCCCACTCTTCCCTAGTCATCCCTAGTAATCCCAGTCATCACTAGTCATCCCTAGTCATCCCTAGTCATCCCTAGTCATCCCTAGTCATCCCAGTCATCCCTAGTCATCCCAGTCATCCCCAGTCATCCCAGTCATCCCTAGTCCTCCCTAGGCATCCCAGTCATCCCTAGTCATCTCAGTCCTCCCTAGTCATCCCTAGTCATCCCAGTCATCCCTAGTCATCCCTAGTCATCCCCAGTCATCCCTAGTCATCCCTAGTCATCCCAGTCATCCCTAGTCATCCCTAGTCATCCCAGTCATCCCTAGTTATCCCTAGTCATACCATTCATCCCTAGTCATCCCTAGTCATCCCAGTTATCCCTAGTCATCCCTAGTCATCCCAGTCATCCCTAGTCATCCCTAGTCATACCATTCATCCCTAGTCATCCCTAGTCATCCCTAGTCATCCCAGTCATCCCTAGTCATCCCTAGTCATACCATTCATCCCTAGTCATCCCTAGTCATGCCAGTCATCCGTAGTCATCCCCAGTCATTACTAGTAAACCCTGGTCATCCCTAGTCATCCCTAGTCATCCCAGTCATCCCTAGTCAACCCTAGTCATCCCAGTCATCCCTAGTCATCCCAGTCATCCCTAGTCATCCCTAGTCATACCATTCATCCCTAGTCATCCCTAGTCATGCCAGTTATCCCTAGTCATCCCTAGTCATCCCAGTCATCCGTAGTCATCCCCAGTCATTACTAGTAAACCCTGGTCATCCCTAGTCATCCCTAGTCATCCCAGTCATCCCTAGTCAACCCTAGTCATCCCTAGTCATCCCAAGTCGTCGCAGTCATCCCTAGTCATCCCAGTCATCCCTACTCAGCCCTAGTCATCCCTAGTCATCCCTAGTAATCCCTAGTAATCCCTAGTCATCCCAGTTTTCAATCATCCCTAGTCATCCCTAGTCATCCCCAGTCATCCCTAGTCATCCCTAGTCATCCCTAGTCATCCCAGTCATCCCTAGTCATCCCTAGTCATTTCAGTCATCCCTAGTCATCCCTAGTCATCCTAGTCATCCCAGTCATCCTTAGTCATCCCCAGTCATTTCAGTCATCCCTTGTGATTCCTAGTCATCCCTAGTCATCCCAGTCATCCCTAGTCATCCCTAGTCATCCCTAGTCATCCCTAGTCATCCCAGTCATCCCTAGTCATCCTTAGTCATCCCTAAACATTTCAGTCATCCCTAGTCATCCTTAGTCATCCTAGTCATCCCTAGTCATCCCTAGTCATCCCAGTCATCCCCAGTCATCCCTAGTGATACAAATCATCCCTAGTCATCCCTAGTCATCCCTAGTCATCCCTAGTCATCCCTGTCATCCCTGTCATCCCAGTCATCCCATGTCATCCCTAGTCATCCCAGTCATCCTCAGTCATCCCTAGTGATACAAATCATCCCTAGTCATCCCTAGTCATCCCAGTCATCCCTGTCATCCCTAGTCATCCCAGCCATCCCTAGTCATCCCAGTCATCCCAGTCATCCCTAGTCATCCCTAGTCATCCCTAGTCATCCCAGTCATCCGTAGTCATCCCCAGTCATTACTAGTAAACCCTGGTCATCCCTAGTCATCCCAGTCATCCCTAGTCAACCCTAGTCATCCCTAGTCATCCCAAGTCGTCGCAGTCATCCCTAGTCATCCCAGTCATCCCTACTCAGCCCTAGTCATCCCTAGTCATCCCTAGTAATCCCTAGTCATCCCAGTTTTCAATCATCCCTAGTCATCCCTAGTCATCCCCAGTCATCCCTAGCCATCCCTAGTCATCCCTAGTCATCCCAGTCATCCCTAGTCATCCCTAGTCATTTCAATCATCCCTAGTCATCCCTAGTCATCCTAGTCATCCCAGTCATCCTTAGTCATCCCCAGTCATTTCAGTCATCCCTTGTGATTCCTAGTCATCCCTAGTCATCCCAGTCATCCCTAGTCATCCCTAGTCATCCCTAGTCATCCCTAGTCATCCCAGTCATCCCTAGTCATCCTTAGTCATCCCTAAACATTTCAGTCATCCCTAGTCATCCTTAGTCATCCTAGTCATCCCTAGTCATCCCTAGTCATCCCAGTCATCCCCAGTCATCCCTAGTGATACAAATCATCCCTAGTCATCTCTAGTCATCCCTAGTCATCTCTAGTCATCCCTGTCATCCCTGTCATCCCTGTCATCCCAGTCATCCCATGTCATCCCTAGTCATCCCAGTCATCCTCAGTCATCCCTAGTGATACAAATCATCCCTAGTCATCCCTAGTCATCCCAGTCATCCCTGTCATCCCTAGTCATCCCAGCCATCCCTAGTCATCCCAGTCATCCCAGTCATCCCTAGTCATCCCTAGTCATCCCTAGGCATCCCAGTCATCCCTAGCCATCCCTAGTCATCTCTACTCATCCATAGTCATCCCTAGTCGTCCCTAGTCATCCCACTCTTCCCTAGTCATCCCTAGTCATCCCAGTCATCACTAGTCATCCCTAGTCATCCCTAGTCATCCCAGTCATCCCTAGTCATCCCAGTCATCCCTAGTCATCCCCAGTCATCCCAGTCATCCCTAGTCCTCCCTAGGCATCCCAGTCATCCCAGTCCTCCCTAGTCATCCCTAGTCATCCCAGTCATCCCTAGTCATCCCTAGTCATCCCTAGTCATCCCTAGTCATCCCAGTCATCCCTAGTCATCCCTAGTCATCCCAGTCATCCCTAGTCATCCCTAGTCATACCATTCATCCCTAGTCATCCCTAGTCATGCCAGTTATCCCTAGTCATCCCTAGTCATTCCAGTCATCCGTAGTCATCCCCAGTCATTCCTAGTAAACCCTGGTCATCCCTAGTCATCCCTAGTCATCCCAGTCATCCCTAGTCAACCCTAGTCATCCCTAGTCATCGCAAGTCGTCGCAGTCATCCCTAGTCATCCCAGTCATCCCTACTCAGCCCTAGGCATCCCTAGTCATCCCTAGTAATCCCCAGTCATCCCAGTTTTCAATCATCCCTAGTCATCCCTAGTCATCCCAGTCATCCCTAGTCATCCCTAGTCATTTCAGTCATCCCAGTCATCCCTAGTCATCCTAGTCATCCCAGTCATCCTTAGTCATCCTTAGTCATCCCCAGTCATTTCAGTCATCCCTTGTGATCCCTAGTCATCCCTAGTCATCCCAGTCATCCCTAGTCATCCCTACTCATCCCTAGTCATCCCTAGTCATCCCAGTCATCCCTAGTCATCCTTAGTCATCCCTAGTCATTTCAGTCATCCCTAGTCATCCTTAGTCATCCTAGTCATCCCTAGTCATCCCTAGTCATCCCAGTCATCCCCAGTCATCCCTAGTGATACAAATCATCCCTAGTCATCCCTAGTCATCCCAGTCATCCCTGTCATCCCTAGTCATCCCAGCCATCCTTAGTCATCCCTAGTCACTCCTAGTCATCCCTTGTAATCCCAGTCATCCCTAATCATCCCTAGTCATGCCAGTCATTCCTAGTCATTTTTAGTCATGCCTAGTCATCCCTAGTCATCATAGTCATCCCTAGCCATCCCTTTTTATCCCTAGTCATCCCTGGTCATCGTTAGTCATCCCAGACATCCCTGTCATCCCTAGTCATCCCAGACATCCCTAGTCATCCCAGTCATCCCTAGTCATCCCCGAGTCATCTTTAGTCATACCTAGTCATCTCTAGTCATCCCGGTCATCCCTAGTCATCCCTAGTCATGCCTAGTCATCCCAGTCATTCCTAGACATTCCTACTTATCCCTAGTCATCCTAGTCATCCCTAGTCATCCCTAGTCATCCTTAGTGATCCCTAGTCATCCCAGTCATCCCTAGTCATCCATAGTCATCGCAATCATCCCTAGTCATCCTAGGCATCCCTAGTCATCTCAGTCATCCCTACTCATCATAGTGGTCGCTAGTCATCCCTAGTCATCCCTAGTCATCCCAGTCAGCCCTACTCATCCTACGCATCCCTAGTCATCTCAGTCATCCCTAGTCATCCTAGTGATCCCCAGTGACCCCTAGTCATCCCAGTCATCCCTAGTCAACGATAGTCATGCCTAGTCATCCCTAGTCATCCCTGGTCATCCCAGTCATCCCTAGTCATCCCTAGTCATGCCTAGTCATCCCAGTCATTCCTAGACATTCCTTCTCATCCCTAGTCATCCTAGTCATCCCTAGTCATCCCTAGTAATCCTCAGTCATCCCAGTCATCCCTAGTCATCCCTAGTCATCCTCTGTCATCCCAGTCATCCCTAGTCATCCCCAGTCATCCCTAGTCATCCCACTCATCCCTAGTCATCCTTAGTCATCCCTAGTAATCCCTAGTCATCCCAGTCATCCCTAGTCATCCCTACTAGTCATCCTAGTCATTTGTAGTCATCCCTAGTCATCCATTGTCATCCTAGTCATCCCTAGACTTCCTTAGTCATCCCTTGTAATCCCAGTCAGCCCTAGTCATCCCTAGTCATCCGTAGTCATCCCTAGTCATCCAGGACATCCCTAGTCTTCCCAGTCATCCCTAGTCAAACCTAATCATCCGTAGTCATCCCTAGTCATCCCTCATCATCCCTAGTCATCCCAGTCATCCCCTAGTCATCCCTAGTCATCCCTAGTCATCCCTAGTCATCCCTAGTCATCCCAATCTTCCCTAGTTATCCCTAGTCATCCCTAGTCATCCCAGTCATCCCTGTCATCCCTAGTCATTCCAGACATCCCTAGTCATCCCAGTCATCCCTAGTAATCCTTAGTTATCCTTAGTCATCCCTAGTCATCCTTAGTCATCCCTAGTAATTCCTAGTCATCCCAGTCATCCCTAGTCATCGCTACTAGTCATCCTAGTCATTTGTAGTCATCCCTAGTCATCCATTGTTATCCTAGTCATCCCTAGTCTTTCTTAGTCATGCCTTGTAATCCCAGTCAGCCCTAGCCATCCCTAGTCATCCATAGTTATCCCTAGTCATCCTAGTCATCCCTAGTCATCCCTAGTCATCCCATTTATCCCTAGTCATCCCTAGTCATTCTAGTCATCCCTAGTCATCCTAGTCATCCTAGTCATCCCTAGTCATTCTAGTCATCCCAGTCATCCCTAGTCATCCCTAGTGATACAAATCATCCCTTGGCATCCCTAGTCATCCCAGTCATCCCTGTCATCCCTAGTAATTCCAGACACCCCTGGTCATCCCAGTTATCCCAGTCATCCCTGTCATCCCTAGTCATTCCAGACATCCCTAGTCATCCCAGTCATCCGTAGTAATCCTTAGTTATCCCTAGTCATCCGTAGTCATCCTTAGTCATGCCTACTCATCCCAGTCATCCCTAGTCATCCCTAGTCATCCCAGTCATCCTTAGTCATCTCTAGTCATCCCCAGTCATCACAGTAATCTCTAGTCATCCCTAGTCATCCCTAGTCATCCCAGTCATCCCTAAAAATCCGTATTCATCCCTAGTCATCCTTAGTAATCCTTAGTCATCCGAGTCATCCCTA